TTTTTTTTTTTTTTTACTTTACTGCTAGCCAGTTAGTTTCGTTAGTATCGCCGTGAAAGGAAATGTTTTCTGGAGAACAAAGAATCGATACACATGTCGATTGTCGAGATATTTTAATAATCAATCGTTTCTCTCTCTTCAGTCGAATATAATAAACTTGACAACGCGAGCAATTCACCAGGAACTCGCGTATTTATTTGAATTCGACACAAATGAATTCAAATAAAATTGCACGCTCGCAACAAACTTGTCGACTCCATTCAGCGCTATGCGCAAACGTCGAACGAATAATAATCCACCGTTGCTATATCTTGCACTGTCCTGAGAACTTCACAATAACGAATCATCCCCGACGATTATCGTCGTTGTAAGGAACAACAGGATCCAAATCCAACGTATATAGTCCTCGATTTTACCGACGAACCGTTTTCAACGATGTATCGAACTCGACATGGGCGAACTAACGTTAGCAGCCGTGGACTTTTGTTGTTTCGATTGGAAATACTCCGCCAAAGAGTTCATTGTCTTTCTGGCGACAGACTCTTCTCCGCACCAATCGACGCTGACCGACTTGCGACCAACCCCCGACGGTCTCGTAGCAACCTCTTCCCATTCGCCAAGCAAATGAAGCAACAGATCCTTGGTATTAGCAGGCTCGTCCAGATTCAGGCTCTTGTGCAAATTACGAAGTCCAGAGATCCGTGGAACATCTCTGCTAGTCTCGCCGAACTGTTTCACGCGTGGACGTCGCCACGGTGGCGTGAGATCCATCTCTCCATCTTTCCCAGGTATTCTCTCATCGCTCGCCTTATCACTCGTCGCGTTTTCCGCTTTCTTCTCAAAAAATTCCGACCTAGTCGATTCCATAGACTCTTCCTCTCTCTTCTGCCTCGTCTTTCTCAACGAGGCAAACACATTTCCAGCGTTCGTCTCGTACTTGTCGAAACTACGATTACTGTGAAACGTGGTTCCGTTCAGCTTCCTGTGTCTCATTATGCTCGACAGTTTCTCCGTAATTTCGTTGCACTCGCTGCTCTCAGCAACCAAACCGTTTCTCTTCTCGCGGACCTCGTTTCTCTTCTCCTTCTCCTTCTCGTCCGGCTCGTTTCTTTTACCCGGTTCGCCGATCACCGAGCTAGCCTCCTCGTCGTTCGGTTTCCCGCACGCTCCCATGGCTATGGATCTCAGCCGTTCCGACAGTTTGATTATCTCCTCGGCTAGGACAATCTGGCTGGCAGGGTCACTCCTCGGCTTCTGCGTGGCCACGCTCTCGGAGGCTCTCCTCTCGAGACCAAAGCCGAAACTGGGCACCGTGAGGAACGTGCCGTGGCTCTCGCGGGGCGAGCTGTCCGTCGTTTCCGACAGCGTGCTGCAGATGCTGGCGCAAGGCGACGGGCTCTGACCTCTCAACGACACTAATTCCTCGTGATCGCGCGTGGAATTCTGCTGCTGGCCCAGCAAACACTGTGGAATATCTATCAGGTACGGGCTGTCCGGATGCTCTCGCCAGCGCTCCACGAACAGCCTCAGATTGTCTTTGGTCACGTCCAGCTCGTCCACGTTGCTCGTCCGCACTCGAGGGATTTGCACGCTTCGAGTCTGTGGCTTCGCCACCCTCGCCGTTCCTTCCAGCTGCTGCTGTTGCTGACTCGCTGGCTTCTTGGCCAGCCAACGATGCTCCCTGCATTCCGCCGCCGACATACGTTTGCTGAAAGATTC